TATATATATGAAATATGTATAAAATATGGAAAGAAATAAAGATATGTATAAAATACAAAATCATAATAATATTTAATGCCTTTGTGAAAATACGGAAAAACTAATTTATAAATGTATAATGTGTAAAATTAATTATTAATTATGATACATAAGAAGATAAAATATATATACATATATGTAAAATATATATGTAAATATATATATGTAAAATGTATATGTATATGATATATAAATATAAAAAATAAATATGCATAACATATATGATAATTTATAAGTATTAGAAATAGACTTTATTAATATTTTTGAATTATAATCAATAACAAAGATAATAATAATAAAATTAATCGAGTGTATAAACAGTTTTTTGAGCATATTGCAATCACAAATCACTGCAACCATAGACAAAAGAAATAATGTGAGAAAGACAGAGAAAGAATAAAAATTAATCAGCGCCATCTTCAGAGTATCGCAAATGAAACATTCTAAGAAAAGATAAATAGAAAGAAAAGAATAGATAAAGTAAGAATTAACTTTTAGCGACATCTCTTGGGTATTAAAAGCATCTTTTATATATCTTTTGAAAAATATTCAACAGATGGTACTAATTGTTAATTCTTATTCTACTTTACCTTTTAAGATGATGTCTTTGCCACTCAAAAGATGGCACTAAAGATGAATTCTTGTTTTATATCTATCCTTTTCCCACTATTTCCTGTCTTTTTTATATATGTTTCATTTGCGGCATTCTGAAGATGGCGGTAATTTCTCTGTAATTTTTACACTATTTTTATCTTTCTTCTATTATTTACTTTCTTTGTAGATTTGCTTGTGTATCATATATAATATATAGAATGATAAACTGAATACATTTTCATTTTCTTTATAAAACTATTAAGCAATTTATATCATAAAATAAAATATATGTAATAGAATAAAATGATTTTCATTATATATATATATATATATAAAAATATATTTAATATGCAAGTAATATTTCTGAATTAGGAGATTAACGAGTCTTGTTATTTTTAAATTATTTTTATTAATTGATTGTTTCAAAGGGCATGTTAAAAGATTCGTTTGCAATGGTTCATTATTTTTAATGTAATTTATAAGTAGTACAGTATAATATTAATTAAATCGATTATATTAAATATTATTTCCTTGTATGTATTGTGTAACCGAATAACGATATAGACAAGACTAGCAGGTGGTGACCCTCGATACTCCTTCATACATTATTTCCTTTTTATTAATGTTAATTATTATTTAGTTTTTCTTTTACATATCTTTTAATAGTTTTTTCAATATTCAATCCAATTTTTTTTCACAAAATTTTGCTCATTTTGTTTCTTTCTTTTTTTCCATATCGCATCACTTATCTCTTATTTTCTTTCTTCCATTTTTCCATTATATCTTGGCAGCGTTTTTGAACAATGAATAGAAAATATCGCAATGAAATGAATATAAAAAGGAAGCCCGTTCAAATTTAAAGCGATTAATCAAAAAAGAGTTGTACATAAGTAAATTACTTCTTCAAAGTCGAGAAAATTATATAATATATATATTTGAAAAATGGGCGACCAATCAATCATTTTTTTAAAGGCACAGGCAACATATTAGCATAAGAGAAAAGCAATCGTGTACAGACTAGCGTCACATTTAATGTTGTAAAATGAAAATTAATTAAAGTTTTTGTGGAGTATTTTGTATGATAGAATTAATGATTAACGCAAGTTTAAATATAATAATATAATAACTTATATTGATAAGAATATAATAACGACAATTCACAAAAATCTGAGTAACAAAAAAATAATGGAACGCATGTATTGTAATAAATTTCTATTTACATATAAAATAATAATCTTTTCTCACTATTGAGTATGTGCGAAAAACTTAAATGAAACAAAAAAATAAGTCGCCAATGCTTTTAAAATTTAATTTCATTATGAATGATATAATATATCTGTAAAATATCTAGTGATATTTATATATCTCAATTCGTGTTTGCACAATAAATAATTTAAATACAACTTCTATTTAAAAAAAACGACCGTATCCAAATTTTTTTCATTATAATTTTTCGCTTACCGGTGGCAGTTCTTCCTTTTTTTTTTCAAGAAACGTTCAAATATATTTTGTACTATTATTACTTATTTATAATATTTTTACTTCACTATTTTGCAATTGCAAAAATGTTAATTTTTTTTTATTTTTTTTAATATTCTGTTATAAAGCCAGTATTTATAAAATTCACAAAATAATTGATTAATGTAAATTCAAAATTCATCATTATTGAAAGTTTCTTGAAACATTTGAATTTTTGTTTGAAATCATTTAAATTTTCATTTAGATGATAGTAGATAAGATAATAAGTTTTAATAAAATTTTAATAAATTTTTAATTTTAATAAAAAAATTCGTTTTTATTTTTAATTTGGAGTTTTAAATAAATTTTTTTCTTTTAAAAATAAATGCTCGATACTTTGGTGATTAAAATTTATATTAATATGTCATGCCTACCGGTAGCAAATTTAAAAAGCAGTGTGTGATATTATGTGTTTCAATGTGTTGGTTTCCATATTGGAATTTTCGATTTATAAGAAGCATCCATAGTTGGACATGAATGAATATAATAGATATATTATATGTTATTCTGATATTTTTCTTACAATGATTTAGCAGTAAACGCACCACATTTGTGCTAATTATAACAAGCTGGATGTCTTGGCACTCGTCAGTGTCCTCCTATGTCTTCAATTTCACCAAAAACGAAACAAATTTTTTATACAAAATCTAATTTTGGATTTTATATTTATTATTAAGTTAAAATTTAATGATTTATATGTTCTTACATCAAAATTATAAATAATGTGTCTTAATTAGGAAACAAAAATCATTAAATTAAGAGTATATTGGAATGTATCCAAAAAATTCACCTAGTTGTTTAATTAAAAGTATAGATAAAATCGAGTAAACTTAAATATATATTAAACAAAGTTATAACGCATCCCTTCATCCTTGCCTATATCCATATTTTTTTTATAATAAATAATTTTTTAAACGAAGTAATAATAATAATGAAACGCATACAAAAAATTACTTTCATACAGAAATTATAATTACACTAAACATCAACTTTGTTGTTGTTTAGAAGAAGAAAGAATAACTTGGTTCGTTGATGGTGAAACCGAATGAGGATGATATAATCGAGCATGCATCGACGTAAGAATGTGACTAAATATACGTCTATAATATCTTATGTCACAGTACAAATGAACGAACAAAATGCCAAATGGCAACGACACAAAGGCACGACGAATTTACAACTCCTCTAGCCGGCGTTAAAAATTTTTTTTTCTAATCAATCATTTCGAGTCTACGTTTCCTTTCTTTATTAATAAAGTAAAATCTAAATAGTAATTTGAGAAGAAAGATTGATATTACGCAGACTCGAAATGATTCGATGCTAATTAGACGTTTAACCCTTTCTGATTTCATATTACACATATGGCATTGTATTATAGTTTATTACATGAAATTGTGAAAAAGTCTACTTGAAAAAGTAGCTAGATATCTAAAAAAAAATTTTCTGAAAAGGTTAAACAATCTTGTACACGAAGAAATTGTTTATTATTTCTAAATATTGTAAAAATGATGAAAAAGGAAGAAATTTAGCGTGCGTTAAAATTGTTTGGCAATGTTATAAAATACACATTCGTACAATAATAATCTATCGCTTTGATTTACTATCTACGATTAACCTTAAAACTTCTTTTTTTCTTTTTCCTTTTTATTTCTTCTTCTTCTTCTTTTTTTTTTGGCAGAAAAAAAAAAGAAAAAAGAAAAAAGAAAAAAATTATCAAGATTTATTTCCTCGAAAATGGAATACACGATAAAACCTTGCTAATTAAAATAATTATGAAAATTCCAAGGTCAATGAATAAAAAAGCTCATCAAACACAATCATTTTCATTAAAAATGTAAACATAAATAAATAATAATTTTCTTAAATAATTTTTTTTCTCGATAAGAAAAAAATTTTAAGGAAAAGAATACATTTAACAAAATATCAATAAATTACAAGGTTTTATGGTTTTACATGAGGTTTTATATGAAATATCGATAAATTTCAATTAGTTCGAGTTGCCGGCTCACGGAGTTCACGCGTCGTTGATCTCAAATCGCACTATACGCGATGATTACCGTGAAAAATAACAGACTGAGACACAAAATATGTACAGTCATCTTCCGACTTATTTCACTTCTATTAGCAATATAGTAATTATTTATTTTAGCAAAAAATGTTAATATATGTGTAATATATATACACAATGCGCATACTTAAATATATATATATATAGAGCTG